AGGTGGTAGAAGCAGTCAGAAGCCAGAGGCAGGGCCTGCTAAGGACACAGGAGCCCTGCAGGGTCAGGGCAGGGGGGGGACGCTTCTGTTCCCTTCCCGGCAAACATTGGCTGCTCTGCACTGCGGGCCGGAGCGTGCCCTGGAGGCAACCATGGCCCTGCCCTGCCCTGCCGGTTCTGAGACCAGCAAACCGGCCTCGGTTTCAGGGGCAGCTTCCCAGACCCCTGGGCCTCATGGAGGACAGCATGGCCCCTGGGCAGTGAGGCTGCATCTGATAGAAACAGAGGGGTCCCCGGGGCCCTTCTCCCCGGGACTTTTCTTTACTTAGTACTGCTTCCTCCCAGGAGTACACCGTGAGCCACGCCGTGCGGCTCACCACAGAGCCACACCGGCCGGGCTGAGGCATTCAGTCCAGCTCAGCCGGAGAAGCGAGCGGACCGCTGGCTTGTTACGCTGTGCACGGCTGTGTTTATGTATGCCGGCGTGCCAGCCCCGCACGGGACTGTGGGAAGGTCACGGTCAATGTGCACCGCGTGGGGTTACAACCAGGATCCTCCCCTCCCAGGTCCCCAGCACCAAAGGAGGGTGGGCTGGTTTGTACCCGTTCTCCAGGGCCCATTTTATTTTATTTACTTTATTTATTTATTTTTTATTTTATTTTATTATGTTTCATTTTATTTTATTTACTTTATTATATTTTTTATTTATTTTACTTTATTTTATTTTATTTATTGTACTTTATTCTGTTTATTTCATTTATTTTGTTTATTTTATTTATTTTATTTTTATTTTTTATTTATTATATTATTTTATCTTATCCTATTTTTATTTATTTATTTTTATTTTATTTTATTTGTTTTGCTTTATTTTGTTTATTTTATTATTTATTTTTATTTCATTTTATTTTATTTACTTTATTTTGTTTATTTATTTTGTTTATTTTGTTTATTTTATTTTTTTATTTTTTATTTTTTATTTATTATATTAGTTTATCTTATCCTATTTTTATTTATTTATTTTACTTTATTTTGTTTATTTTATTTTTATTTATTTTATTATTTTATTTTATTTTATTTTATTTTATTTTATTTTATTTTATTACTTGAGGCCTGGTGTCCCACATTTGTGCACTGCGGGAAGGAGGCCTGCGCCCTCTCACAGTATGGGACCCTTTGGGGGATGTCCGCCTGCCAGCTTAGGCCCGCTCCCCACAGTCAGGCATCCCTCGAGGGGTCCTCAGTGCCGCCATGGAGGCGAAAGAGGCTCCACCCACTGCTCCTGAGCCTGACTTATGGCTGAATGGCGCTCCTCCCCCTGTGGGAGTGCACTGACCACCAGGGGCAGCTCCTGCGTTGAGCCACTGCCCCCTAGTGGTCAGTGCACGTCATAGCGACCAGTCATTCTGCCGTTGGGTTGATTTGCATATTAGCCTTTTATTATATAGGATTTTAAAATATCTTTTTATGGATTCAGAGAGGACAGGAGAGGGAGAAGGAGAGAGAGAGAGAGAGAGAGAGAGAGAGAGGGAGAGAGAGAGAGAAACATCAGTGACGAGGGGGAACCGTGGATCGGCTGTCCCCTATTGTGGATCAAGCCCACAACCTGACCATATACCCTGACCTGGAATCGAACTGTGACCTCCTGGTTCATAGGTGGACACTCAACCATGAGCCACGCTGGCCGGGCTATCTTGGAAAACCTTGAGCACAGTGAAAGCTGCCCAGCCCTGGCATGGGCCTCCTTGGGAAGGATTGAACACCTTCCTCTCAATCAGAAGACCTCAGCCACAAGGGCATGGTCCCTGGCAGGGAGGTTGGACTGCAAAACCCCATGGAGGAACAGGAAAAAAGCCATTAAGCCCTGGCCAGTGTGGCTCAGTGGATACAGCGTCGGCCTGTGGACCAAAGGGCCCCAGGTTTGATTCCGGTCAAGGGCACGTACCTCGGTTGCAGGCTCCTCCCCGGCCCAGGCTCCGGTCGAGGCATGTGCAGGAGGCAACCCATCCATGTGTTTCTCTCACATCAATGTTTCTCTCTGTCTCTCCCTCTCTCTTCCACTCTCCCTAAACATCAATGGGAAAATATCCTCGGGTGAGGTTTTAAAAAACAAAATTAAAAAGTCATTTAAGCCGAAACCGGTTTGGCTCAGTGGATAGAGTGTCAGCCTGCGGACTGAAGGGGCCCGGGTTTGATTCCAGTCAAGGGCATGTACCTTGGTTGCGGGCACATCCCCAGTGGGGGACTTGCAAGAGGCAGTTGATCGATGACTCTCTCATCGATATTTCTAACTATCTCTCTCTCTTCCTCTCTATAAAAAAATCAATTATATATATATATATATATATATATATATATATATATATTTTTTTTTTTTTTTAAGTCATTTGATCCACTGTGTTACGTGGGAAAAGCATTGATGTGAAAGAGACACATCACTTTTGCTGCCTCCCACACACACCTAGACCAGGGCCAGGGATGGGGCCCACAACCGAGGTCTGTGCCCTTGACCGGAATTGAACCCGGGACCCTTCAGTCCACGGGCTGACGTCCTATCCACTGAGCCACACTTGCCAGGGCCAGTCCCATAATTTGATGGAATAAAGGCCAAGGCTCAGGCCAGGTTGGCAATACAGCACAGAGTCTACTGATGAGGAAGGGAAGGATTTCCCTGCTTCTAGCTATGGGTTTCTCTCTCTCTCTTCCCTCCCCGCCCCCCCCCCCCAACAGCCTTCATGCAGCAGCATTCAATGCCAGGCACCCCCTCTCCCCTCCCTCCGCCCCGGGGTGCACCCTCCCCTCCCCACATCCCGCACGGTGGCCTGGCAGAGTCCTGGCGACGCTTGGAACCTGGACAGAATGGAATGTCTCCCTGTTTTCCTTACAGCGAAGAAAACACACACACGCACACGCACACACACGCACGCACACACGGGCCTATTTACCGGCGGTATTTCTATCCCCGAGTTTGTCTTTAAAAAAAAAAAGAAGAAATAAAATTAGTTTTACTGCCCACTCCACACACACACACACACACACACACACACACACACACACCCTTTTCATGGCTGGAGACCAGGGGTGGGACTCAGAGCCGGGACCAAGGCCCCCAGAACCACAGCATCCCGGACAATGCCGGGCTTGTCTGCAGCGAGGGGAGAGACCCAGCTCCGAAAACACTCTTCGCGGCCCAGGGAAGGGCGTTCCGAGGCAGGACGGACAGACAGGCGGGCCTTGTGTCTGGCTGGACACGGATCCCTGAGGCTTGGGGAAGGCAGGAGCCCACACATCTCGCCCCCTCCCCGGCGTGGAGGGGACACCTTCCCCTTGGGGTCCCCCGAGGGGCTGCTTCCCAGCCGTGACTGGTCACACGAGTCCCCTGTGGCCCCTCACGGAGCCAGAATCTGGAGCCTCAGCTTTTTGTGTGGCTTTTGGTGTGTGTGTGTGTGTGTGTGTGTGTTTTAATATATTTTATTGATTTTTTACAGAGAGGAAGGGAGAGGGATAGAGAGCCAGAAACAACCAAGGTACATGCCCTTGACCGGAATCGAACCTGGGACCCTTGAGTCCACAGGCCGACGCTCTATCCACTGAGCCACACCGGTTTTGGCGTTTTGTGTGGGTTTTTTTAGGGCAGCATCTAAGGAGTAAAGTCCCAACGAGGAGTGTGAGGGGGCTGTGTCTTAGGGCTTTGGGGTTTCCCAGACTTCCTGCCCTGTGAGGAAGACACACCTCCCACGTCCATCTCAGTGCCCCCTGGAGCACCCAGGTCCTGAAGGGAAGGTCACTCAAACGGCAGGCCCGCCTGGCTGGTGGGCTCAGTGGTTAGCGTAGACCTAGGAACCAGGAGGTCACGGTTCGATTCCCAGGCAGGGCACATGCCCAGGTTGCAAGAGCGTGCAGGAGGCAGCTGATTCTCTCTCATCATTGATGTTTCTACCTCTCCCTTCCTCTGAAACCAATAAAAATATTTCTTGAAAAACTAAAAAAAAAAAAAGACAGAAAGGTTGACACCCAAGAGGGCCCCTCAGAGTCCTGAGCCCTGCCCACAGCGCCCCCATACCTTCCTGGGATGGGCACCCAGACTAGATGGGAACCTCAGTTGGACAGGAACCCACCCAGCCCCATCCGACAGTGACTGAGCCAGCAGCGCCACCTGCTGAGCCATAGGGTTCTGACAGGCTCAGCTGGGTGAACTCCATCCTTGTCTTTAGTTGCAGGTCGGCCATCCCCTCCAAGGCTTCCTCCTCTTCCCTGTGGATTGTCTGTGATGCAAACATGTCTGTTTTTTATGATACACTGAGTGGCCAGATGATTATCATCTCTGAGCCCATAGTAATCTGGCCACTCCGTGTAAATCCTATAGAATAAAAGGCTAATATGCAAATTGTCCCCTCGAGCAGCAGGCAGGCTGGGCAACTGCCCATGTCCCCTTCCACTGGCCAGGCTGGCTGGACCCCACCCATGCACGAATTCATGCACCAGGCCTCTAATATATATGTGTGTGTGTGTGTGTGTGTGTGTGTGTGTGTGTGTGTGTGTACACACACAGAGAGAGTGACCAGCTTATTATCCGTTCAGAGACCATCATCATCTGGCCACTTAGCGTATATTTTTATTGATTTCAGAGAGGAAGAGAGAGGGAGAGAGAGAGAGAGAGAGAAACATCCATGATGAGAGAGAATCATGGATCGGCTGCCTCCTGCACACTCCCTACCGGGGATCGAGCCCACAACCCGGGCATGTGCCCCTGACCAGAATCAAACCCGGGACCCTTCGGGTCCGCAGGCCTTCGCTCTATCCATTGAGCCACACCAGCCAGGGCATGTACCAATTGCTCACGGACTGGAGAGGAGGGCGGGGCAGGTGCCAACGCAGGTCCGTGACCAGCAGACAGCCTGGGGCACATGTGACGTTTCTCTTCGCGTATCCAGTGTCCCTCCTCGGCCTCCCTGCGTCTGAACCCCCAAATAACACTCCCGCCTCCCCTTTTCCAGGTGAACTATGACCACTTTACTCCTCCTGTTGGTGACCCTCAGGGTCACGGCCGCCGCCGCCATCTCCATACAAGTCTCAGGTGAGGACATGCGCACGCCGGTCCCATCCCTCCAGCTGGACCCGGGCCGGGGCTCCGGGCCCTGAACCCCATGTTGCTGCTGGTCCCAGGGATAGAGCCCCCCGCGTCCTGGCCTTTTCCGCCCAGCCCTTCCCCTTTTCTGTATCAGTTGAGCCCACCGCAGTGACAGAGGAAGAGAGAGCGAGAGAGAGAGAGAGAAACATCAATGATGAGAGAAAATCATGGATCGGCTGCCTCCTGCATGCATGCATCCAGGTGCCCTCTGGGATGGACGGCTGCAGGGGGGGGCGGGGGGCGACCAGGCAGGTGCCCACCTTCCCAGGACCCCCTCCAGGGGTCTTGCCTAGAATTGCTTGCACACTGAACTTGGGATCGGGGCCCTAGAGGAGCCCAAAGAGAAAAGGCTGCCAGGGAAGGATGGGCTGTAGCCACAGAGAAAAACTACCTGAGACACAGAGACCCAGGCTGGTGGTCGGCAAACTCATCAGTCCACAGAGCCAGATATCAACCGTACAGCGATTGACATTTCTTTGGAGAGCCACAATTTTTTAACACATATTTTATTGATTTTTCACAGAGAGGAAGAGAGAGGGATAGAGAGTCAGAAACATCGATGAGAGAGAAACATGGATCAGCTGCCTCCTGCACACCCCCCACTGGGGATGTGCCCGCAACTAAGGTCCATGCCCTTGACCGGAATCGAACCTGGGACCTTTCAGTCCGCAGGCTGATGCTCTAGCCACTGAGCCAAGCCGGTTTTGGCTGGAGAGCCACATTTTTTTAAACTTAAACTTCTCACGCCGCTTCTTCAACATAGACTCGCCCGGGCCGAGGTATTTTCTGGAAGAACCACACTCAGGGGGCCAAAGAGCCAGATGTGGCTCGCAGTTTGCCGACCGATGTGCTAAGGAACCCCGGAATTCTGCCCTGGGATCCGGCTCTTCCTTGGGAAAGGTGTCCTTGTCCCATAGGATGCTAGAACGTGTTCTATTTTTTTTTTAATATATTTTATTAACCTTTTACAGAGAGGAAGAGAGAGTCAGAGAGAGCTAGAAACATCAACGTGAGAGAAACATCAACCAGCTGCCTCCTGCACACCCTCCACTGGGGATGTGCCTGCAACTGAGGTCCATGCCTTTGACCGGAATCGAACCTGGGAACTTTCGGTCCGCAGGCCGACGCTCTATCCACTGAGCCACACCGGTTTCGGCTAGAATGTGTGATCGCTCTATTGAGCGATCTTATAAAGCTTCAATACTTAGACCCAGGGTCTCCCCGTGTCCTCGTGCCCTGAGACCCACAGAGACGCAGCCCCTGGCGGGAACCCACAGGGAGGGAGGGGGTGTCCACACAGGCCCACGCCCGTTCCCTGGGGGGCCGGTGGAGAGCTTTAAAAAGGGCAGAGCAGGGCCCCCCCTCCCCCCCGCTCCTTCTCAGCCTGGCCCCTCTCAAACCCGCTGGGCTGTGGACCTTCAAAGAGAGGTTTGTGCCGAGGGGCCCGGTGGTGACTGCCCAGGACACCAAAAGGTTAGGGCTGGACCCCAAACATTCCTGGCTCCCCTGTTCCCTGCGCTGGTGTGTACCTCTCACCCACAAGAATCTGAAGCATTTTTACGTCCACCCCGCAGCCTGTCCTGGGGGGGCGGGGGGAGGGGTGGGGAAGGTCCCCTAACGCTGGGATTCGCCATGAAAGGGGCCGTTTTTTCCAAAAGCTGTTTGCAGTCCTGTTCCAGGATGACCTTGACTTCTAACGCGGCTCGGTGAACCACAGCAGCTTCACCATGAATTCTCTCTGTGATTTCTTTTTTAAGGATGTTTTTCTTGATTTTGGAGAGAGAGAGAGAGAGAGAGAGAGAGAGGATAAGCTGCCTTCTGCACGCCCCCTACTGGGGATGGAGCATGGGAATCGAACCAGTGACCTCTCAGTGCATATGGGATGACGCTCAACCGTCTGAGCCACATGGTCCAGGACTCTCTGAGGTTTTTTTGTGTGCGTGTGTGTTTTTAAATATATTTTACTGATTTTTTACAGAGAGGAAAGGAGAGGGATAGAGAGCTAGAAACTTCGATGAGAGAGAATCATCGACCAGCTGCCTCCTGCACATGCCCTACTGGGGATGTGCCCACAACCAAAGTACATGCCCTTGACCGGAATCGAACCCGGGACCTTCAGTCCGCAGGCCGATGCTCTATCCACTGAGCCAAACCGGTTCCGGCACTCTTGTGAGTTTTTATGGAGTCTGAGCATAGCTCACTCCGACCCCCGCCTGGCTCTTTGCAGACCTAAATGTCTGATCTCCTCCGATGCGTCCCCCACAGCAGAAAACAATGAGTTGTGTGCTGGCAAAGCCGGCATAAAGCCCAAGGCTGACCTCTCGCTGGGAGGCACATCTCTGACGTTTCATGGATTTTCTTTTCTCCCCCATAACGATGTTTCTGCCCCCAAATAACTTTTTCTCAAATCTTGTAATCAAGCTGTCACTCCAGGAAGTGGGTTCCTGTTTATCCGGTGGCTTGGGATCCCCTAAGGCACCTTAGTTTGAGAAACAGAGAGGCGGCCTTTTTTTTTTTTTTCTTTTTATTCCAATATACTTTTAGTGATTTCAGAGAGGAAGAGAGAGAGAAGCATCAATGGTGAGAGAGAATCCTGGATCGGCTGCCTCCTGCACGCCTCACACTGGGGATTCAAGCCCGCAACCTGGGCATGTGCCCTTGACGGGAATCAAACCCACGGCCCTTCAGTCCACAGGCCGACGCTCTATCCACTGAGCCACACTGGCCGAGCCGGAGAAGTAGCCTTGACCCTGAAGTCCCCCCTTGCCCTCCTCTTCGGCAACCCCTTTTCTGGCCCCATAGTTCCTGCCCTGAGGTGCAGACACCAGGGGTCTCTGGGAAGGGTGTTGCAAGGGTTTCTGGGAATTCCGCGCGGCCCAGGTGGTCCTGTGTGGGCACTAACTGGTCTGTCTGTCCCCCACCCACCCCCCCTCCTCAGTCCCTGACAACTCGCTGAGCGTCAGCATCCCCGAGCCGTCCCCGCTGCGGGTCCTGCTGGGCACCTCGCTCACCATCCCCTGCTACTTCATGGACCCCGTGCACCCCGTGACCACGGCCCCGGCCACGGCCCCGCTCACCCCGAGGATCAAGTGGAGCCGCGTCTCCGAGGAGAAGGAGACGGTGCTGCTGGTGGCCACGGACGGGCAGGTGCGGGTGCCCGCCGCCTTCCAGGACAAGGTCTCGCTGCCCAACTACCCCGCCATCCCCAGCGACGCCACCCTGGAGATCCAGAACCTGCGCTCCAACGACTCCGGGGTCTACCGCTGCGAGGTCACGCATGGCATCGAGGACGGCGAGGCCACCGTGGAGGTCGTGGTGAAAGGTGAGCGTCCCCCCGTCCGGCCCCCTCTATCCCCTCCACCCCCGTCTCAGGGATCCTGGTTCAGCTGCAAAGAGAGCCAAATGCCGTCCTCCCCACGTGCACCCAGACAGGCTGGCTCTCAAATCCCAGCTCCCCCCCGCCCCCCTCCGCCCGTGTGCACCTCAGTCACCTGGGCTTTGCGGGGTATGTTTAAGTTATGTTTTTCGTTGTGGTTTTTTTTTCCTTTTTTTTTTAATTAAATTATTATCTGTGTACATATTTTAACATTGCCCCCCCTCCCTCCCATACATACCCTCCCTCCCCAGAGTTTTGTGTCCATTGGTTGTACTTAGATGCATGTATACAAGTCCTTCGGTTGATCTATTATCTCCCCCACATCTCCCTCCTCTCCCCGCAAGTATGTTTTTCTTGATTTTGGACAGAGAGAGAGAGGGAGAGAATCAGCTGCCTCCTGCACACCCCCTAGTGGGGATGGAGCCCAAAACCCAAGCGTATATCCTGGGCTGGGAATCGAACCAGCGACCTCTCAGTGCATATGGGATGACACGCAGCCGTCTGAGCCACATGGTCCAGGGCTCTCGGAGGCTTTTTTGTTTTTGTTTTTATATATGTGTGTGTATATATATATATATATATATATATATATATGATATATATATATATATAGTTAATTTTTTACAGAGAGGAAGGGAGAGGGATAGAGATTGAGAAACATCGATGAGAGAGAAACATCGACTAGCTGCCTCTTGCACATCCCCTACTGGGAATGTGCCCGCAACCAAGGTACATGCCCTTGACCGGAATCGAACCTGGGACCCTTGAGTCCGCAAACCAAGGCTCTATCCACTGAGCCACACCGGTTTCGGCTAAACAAGGAACTTTCTGATGATCCAGAATTATCGTAGGTGTTCGTAAGTGCGAGGTAGTGAGCTCCCCGTGGCAGGAGGCATCCCAGCAGAGGCAGAAAGACCACACGTGGAAGGGGGAGTCACGCATCAGCCAGAGGCTGGACCCACTGACCGGGAGGCCCCTGGGACCCTGGCCGTCCTGCTGTGGGGGCCTCGGTTTCGGGGGCAGCCGTGCCTGACCCGCTCCCCGGCCCCCTGTCTGTCTTGCAGGCATCGTGTTCCACTACAGAGCCATCTCCACGCGCTACACCCTGGACTTTGACAGGGCGCAGCGGGCCTGCCTGCAGAACAGCGCCATCATCGCCACACCCGAGCAGCTGCAGGCCGCCTACGAGGACGGCTTTCACCAGTGCGACGCCGGCTGGCTGGCCGACCAGACTGTCCGGTGAGCCCCCGGCTGAGTGGGGGGGGGGCGGTGGGCTGGAACCGAGACCAGCCCCGCGCTGGCGCCCGAGCAACACCATGGCCAGCTGAGGGTGAGGAGGGGTGCCTTGGCCAGCTCTGCAGGCAGCAGCCGAGGACCGATCCCAGGTCTGCGTGGAGATAGTGGCTGCGAGCAGCTTAGCCCTTTAGGAACCTTCTCTCCAAGCAAATGGCATGCACATCATCGTCTCTCCAGAACGTAAACTACACTGAGTGGCCAGATGATGATGATCTCTGAACGCATAATCATCTGGCCACGCAGTGTCTATCCTATAGAATAAAAGGCTAATATGCAAATGGTCTCCTGGACCAGGAGTTCAACCAGCAGGCAGGCCGGCCAACCGTCCATGTCCCCTCCCCCTGGCCAGGCTGGCTGGACCCCACCCATGCACGAATTCATGCACTGGGCCTCTAATACACACACACACACACACACACACACACACACACACACACACACACACACTGAGTGGCCAGATTATTATGCGTTCAGAGATCATCATCATCTGGCCACTCAGTGTATTTGGCCCGGCTGGTATGGCTCATTGTGGAGCGCTGACCCGTGAACCAAGAGGTCACGGGCTTGATTGCTGGTCAGGACACACATGCCCAAGTTGCTCTCTTGATCCCCAGGAAGAGAGGTGTGCAGCAGGCAACAAGTCGATATTTCTATCCCTCTCCCTTCCTCCCTCTCTAAAATCAATCAAAATATTTTTTTGCGCTAGCTGCTTTGGTTCAGTGGGTAGAGCATCGGCCTTGCGGACTGAACGGTCTTGGGTTCGATTCCGGTCAAAAGCATGTGCCTTAGTTACAGCCTCAATCCCCCAGTGTGGGGCGTGCAGGAGGCAGCCGATCCATAATGCTTTCTCATCACTGAAGTTTTTATCTCTCTCTCCCACTTCCTTCCTCTCTGAGCTCAATAAAAATACATTTTTTTAAATAATAAAAACTTATTTTTAATTTAAAATACTTGCTCGCTGGCCTTTTACAGAAAAGCTTTGCAGGCCCCTGAGAGAATGTGTTTAATGTCCATAAATATTCAATCAAGGGGCTGAATCTAATCACCAATAACTATGAAAATACATAGTTCAGTAAAGCGGACCAAAAAAAAAACTATAAAAACAGCCCTGACTGGTGTGGCTCAGTGGATAGAGCGTCGGCCTGTGGACTAAAGGGTCCCAGGTTCGATTTCAGTCAAGAGCATGTAACTTGGTTGCAGGCACATCCCCAGGAGGGGGTGTGCAAGAGGCAGCTGATCGATGTTTCTAACTCTCTATCCCTCACCCTTCTCTCTGCAAAAAAAAAATCAATAAAATATATTTAAGGGGAAAAAAACCTATAAAACAAATAGTCCACACATTCTCAGAAATGAAAGTTAAAATTAAAAATACCTTTAAAAAATAAAATAAGCCGAAACCGGTTTAGCTCAGTGAATAGAGCGTTGGCCTGCGGACCGAAAGGTCCCAGGTTTGATTCCGGTCAAGGGCACGTACCTTGGTTGCGGGCACATCCCCAGTGCGGGGGTGTGCAAGAGGCAGCTGGTCGATGTTTCTCTCTCATCGACATTTCTAACTCTCTATCCCTCTCAATTCCTCTCTGTGTAAAATGAATAAAATATATTTTTTTAAAAATAAAATAATAAAATAAAAATGTAAAACAAAGGACTTGCTGATGATCAGCATTATCGTAGGTATTCATACGTGCGAGGTAGTGAGCTCCCCGTGGCGGGAGGCATCCCAGCAGGGGCCGAAAGACCACGTGTGCAAACGGGAGTCACGCATCAGCCAGAGGCTGGACCCGCGGGGCCGTCAAACGCATCCATGAGTCACCGCTCCCTCCCTCTCAGGGAGAAGCCTACAAGGCACTGTCCCCTCGGTTCCCGTCTCCCTGACAACCCCCCCCCCTCCGCCTTGGGTTCCTGGCAGGTACCCCATCCACGTCCCTCGGGAAGGCTGCTACGGGGACAAGGACGAGTTTCCTGGCGTGAGGACCTACGGCATCCGCGACACCAACGAAACCTACGACGTGTACTGCTTCGCCGAGGAGATGGAGGGTGAGGCCCCCTGCCCCTTCCCACCGCCCCCCTCCCTGTCCCCTGCACCCTGCTGGCACTCAGGATCTCACACCTCCCTCCACTTGACCCCCTCTGCCATGGGGGACAAAAGAAGGGGGAGGGCCGGTACCAGTGTGGCTCAGTGGATAGAGCGTCGGCCCGCAGACTGAAAGGTCCCGGGTTCGATTCCGGGCAAGGGCATGTACCTTGGCTGCGGGCACATCCCTGGTGGGGGTTGTGCAAGAGGCAGCTGGTCGATGATTCTCTCTCATCGATGTTTCTTAACTCTATCCCTCTCTCTTCCTCTCTGTGAAAAATCAATAAAATATATTTAAAAGCTAAAAATAAAAATAAAATCAATAAAAATATATTAAAAGAAGAAGAAGAAAGGGGAGGGAAGAACAAGGACTCCAGTCCTCTGTGACCCCAGGCTCCAGCCACCATGGAGCCAAAGAGTGTCTGTCACTGACCCCCCCCCCCCCGAGGATTTCCCTCTCAGCCAGGCCCCTCGCTGCTCAGACCAGCCACCACTGTCCCAACTTAAAATGCGCTGGAGCCCGCCCGGCGTGTCTCAGTGGTTATGTGTGGACCTGTGAACCAGGAGGTCACGGTTCGATTCCCAGTCAGGGCACCTGCCTGGGTTGCAGGCTCGATCCCCAGTGTGGGGCGTGCAGGAGGCAGCCGATCCATGATTCTCTCTCATCATTGATGTTTCTCTCTCTCTCCTCCTTTCCTCTCTGAATCCATAAAAAAATGTATTTTTTAAATAAAAAAAAAGAGTCCTCATCGGTTTGGCTCAGTGGATAGAGCGTCAGCCTGTGAACTCAAGCGTCCCAGGTTCGATTCCGGTCAAGGGCATGGACCTTGGTTGCGGGCACATCCCCAGTAGGGGGTGTGCAGGAGGCAGCTGGTGGATGGTTCTTTCTCATCGACGTTTCTAGCTCTCGATCCCTCTCCCTTCCTCTCTGTTAAAAAAAAAAAAATCAATAAAATATACTTTTTTTTAATAAGAATGTTCTGGAGGCACCACATGGGGCCAGGAACCGGGGGCGGGAGGGTGGTCCTCACCTCGCCGCTGTGTCCTTCACAGGTGAGGTTTTCTACTCCACGTCTCCCGAGAAGTTCACCTTCCAGGAGGCCGCCAGCGAGTGCCGGCGGCTGGGCGCCCGGCTGGCCACCACGGGCCAGCTGTACCTGGCCTGGCAGGGCGGCATGGACATGTGCAGCGCCGGCTGGCTGGCCGACCGCAGCGTGCGCTACCCCATCTCCAAGGCCCGGCCCAACTGCGGGGGCAACCTGCTGGGCGTGAGGACCGTGTACCTGCACGCCAACCAGACCGGCTACCCCGACCCCTCGTCCCGCTACGACGCCATCTGCTACACAGGTGCGGGGGCTGGGGCTGGGGCCTGGGAGGCGGTGGGGTGGGGGGGAGGCATGCCTGCAAAAGTGGGGCCCAAAGGCAGAGATCTGGGAATGGGGCTTGGTTTGTACCCCTTTAAGGGGTCATGGGGCACCTGAACCTCATGTTTTGGCAGCACCCGTTTCCACAGGTTCCTAGGAGAGCTAAGGTATACAGTGGCTTGAGGCCAGATTTCCCAGTTTCCCTTTATTGGGGTTTACATTGTCCCCACTGGCTGGTCCGCAAGGTGCTCAGCCAATAGGTGAGCAGGCGGCTGGCATGGACCCGGAAGAGAAGCTGGAGCTGTGAGGTGATTGGTTAATATCTGATGCTATGACAGCTTTGCATTCTTTTGCAATCTGGAAACTGCGTGGTCCATCCTACATAATGAAAGCATAATATGCTAAGTGTCCGACCGTTCGGTCAACCGCTCGACCAGTCGTTATGACGTGCACTGACCACCAGAGGGCAGATGCTCCGACTGGTAGTTTAGCTTGCTGCTGGGGTACGGCCATTCGGGACTGGGTCAGAGGGCCAGACATGCCCTGGAGCCCTCCTGTGGTCCCTCCCCGGCTGGCAACCAACCTCCCTCATCCCTCCAAAACCGACTGGCCCCCATCGGCCCCAATCGATTGGAACTGGGCAAGACAGCCCCAATCACCAGCCAGGCTGAGGGACCCTACCCATGCACAAATTCATGCACCAGGCCTCTAGTCACGAGTAGCCACGTAGACAAAGGACCCCAGAATGGGCTCAGCATGGTGCCAGGCACACAGTAGGTGCTTTCCTCCCTCAGCAAGGTGCAAGCACACAGTAGGCGCTATCCTCCCTCAGCGAGGTGCCAGGCACACAGTAGGCACTTTCCTCCCTCAGCGAGGTGCCGGGCACACAGCGAGGTGCCAGGCACACAGTAGGTGCTTTCCTCCCTCAGCAAGGTGCAAGCACACAGTAGGCGCTATCCTCCCTCAGCGAGGTGCCAGGCACACAGTAGGCACTTTCCTCCCTCAGCGAGGTGCCAGGCACACAGCGAGGTGCCAGGCACACAGTAGGTGCTTTCCTCCCTCAGCAAGGTGCAAGCACACAGTAGGCGCTATCCTCCCTCAGCGAGGTGCCAGGCACGCAGTAGGCGCTATCCTCCCTCAGCGAGGTGCCAGGCACACAGTAGGCGTTATCCTCCCTCAGCGAGGTGCCAGGCACCCAGTAGGCGCTATCCTCCCTCAGCGAGGTGCCAGGCACACAGTAGGCGTTATCCTCCCTCAGCGAGGTGCCAGGCACCCAGTAGGCGCTTTCCTTGCTCAGCGAGGTGCCAGGCACCCAGTAGGCGCTTTCCTCCCTCAGCGAGGTGCCAGGCACCCAGTAGGCACTTTCCTCCCTCAGCGAGGTGCCAAGCACCCAGTAGGCGCTTTCCTCCCGTAGCAAGGTGCCAGGCACACAGTGGGCGCTTTCCCCCCTCAGCGAGGTGCCAGGCACACAGTAGGTGCTTGCCTCCCCCAGCGGGAGAAGGAGGTGGCGCCCCTCTCAGCCCCGGAGGGAGGCGCGGCTAACGCCTGCCTTTGCGCCGCGCCCCAGGTGAAGACTTCATCGACATCCCCGAGAACTTCTTCGGGGCGGGCGGCGAGGAGGACATCACGGTGCAGACGGTAACCTGGCCAGACGTGGAGCTGCCGCTGCCCCGGAACATCACGGAGGGCGAGGCCCGGGGCAACGTGATCCTCACGGTGAGGCCCATCTTCGGCGGCGGCGGCGGCTCGCCCACGGCCCCCGAGCCCGAGGAGCCCCTCATCCAGGCCACCGCCTTCCCCGGGGCCGAGAACGGGACCGGGGCGGGGCCCTGGGCCTTCCCCGGAGCATCCACGCCTGGCCGGGGCCCCTTCACCGGCGAGGACCTGGTCGTGCAGGTGACGGCAGCCCCCGGCGAAGCCCAGGTGCCCGGGCAGCCACGACTGCCAGGGGGTAAGTGCCCACTCCTCCGGGGGGTCAGAGCGGGGAGCCAGGAGGAAAGAACTTGGCCTGGGGGTGTCTTCCCCTCATTGGGACCTGGGACACGCCTCTCAGTCCTCCTTATCTGTCAGATAAAGAAATAGGCCATCCGAAACCAGTGTTGCTCAGTGGATAGAGCGTCGGCCTGCGGACTGAAGGGTCCCGGGTTCGATTCCGGTCAAGGGCATGTACCTTGGTTGCAGGCCCATCCCGGGTAGGGGGTGTGCAGGAGGCAGCTGATCGATGATTCTCTCTCATCGATGTTTCTAACTCTATCCCTCTCCTTTCCTCTGTATAAAAAAATCAATAAAATATATTTTTAAATAATAATAATAATAAAATCAAATAAAACAGAATTCAAATTTCACTGTTCACATGGCCTGGCGATAGGATCGGAAGGAGGGGGTAAAAGGGGGGGTGAAGGGGGGCCATTCCTCAAGAATCGAGCCTTAAGATCTGGGCAGTGTGGGCACCGGCGGCGTGGCGCCCGGCCCACGCTCTGAGCCCACTCTGTCTGTCCTTCTCTCCCAGGGGTCGTGTTCCACTACCGCCCCGGCTCTGCCCGCTACGCGCTGACCTTCGAAGAGGCCCAGCAGGCCTGCCTGCGCACCGGCGCCGTCATCGCCTCGCCCGAGCAGCTGCAGGCCGCCTACGAAGCCGGCTACGAGCAGTGCGACGCTGGCTGGCTGCAGGACCAGACCGTGAGGCAAGTGAGGGGCCGGCCGGGCCCCCCTCCCAGCCCCTACCCACCCTGGAGAGGTCAGGCGAGGGCAGCCGGAGCTGGCCCTGCACCCAGGGCACAGAGGGCACCAGCTCCCTCCATTGCTCCCCCCAGAACGGAAGCATATTCAGAGAGGAGGGCATTCAGTACCAGGTCAGCAGCAGCCTGCGGACGGAAGGGTCCTGGGTTCGATTCCGGCCAAGGGCACATGCCCGGGTTGTGGGCTCGATCCCCAGGAAGGGGGCGTGCAGGAGGCAGCCGATCAGCAATTCCCTCTCATCATCGATGTTTCCATGTCTCTCTCTCCCTCATCCTTCCTCTCTGAAATCAGTAAAAATATAGGTGGGTTGTTTTTTTTTTTAAATCAGTGGTCGGCAAACCACGGCTTGCGAGCCACAATCGGCTCTTTGGCCCCTTGGGTGTGACTCTTCCACAAAATACTCTCTTCCTGTCTGTAAAATACCATGAGCTGGGCGAGTCTCTTTGGAAGACGTGGCGTTAGAAGGAGTTTAAGTTTAAAAAAGGCGGCTCTCCAAAGAAATGTCAATTGTCGTACTGTTGATATTTGGCTCTGTGGACGAAGGAATTTGCCGACCACTGTCCTAGGTCATCTCCCCCAGTCCCTTCCCGCTTGACCCAATGCTATTCCATGCAGTGGGGGCTCCCTTCTGAAGCCAGTAATTCCCCAGCGGGGGAGGGGTCCCCCCAAACCTTGTGCCTAGTATAAGATGCTTCTTCCTGGTTTGAATCCCTCTAAAAACCAAAGACCCTCCTGCCCGAGTCCCCCACAGCTGGCCTGCCAGCCTGACCCACAGAATCCCCCAACCCGGAACAGGCCTCATCTCGCCTCCCCTCCTCCTTCGCAGGTACCCCATTGTGAGCCCGAGGACCCCGTGCGTGGGTGACAAGGACAGCAGCCCGGGGGTCCGGACCTACGGCGTGCGCCCCCCGTCAGAAACCTATGACGTCTACTGCTACGTGGGCAAGCTTGAAGGTACAGGCCTCCTTCTCACTGCGGGCCCCAGGGGGGCAGAGGGCTGTTGGGGACACACACACACACACACACACACACATACAAAAAGGAGAGTGAAATCCATCATCCACCCACCCCCACATTTGTCTGAGGATAAATATCGATAAATCCATTATTTTTTAAATATTGACCCACCATCCACCTCCTAGAGAGTCCCAGTGCCCATGAGCAAAGCAAAGACTCTGAGAAGTCCTGCAGTGTTAAAAAAAAAAAAAAAAAAAAAAAAAAAATCAAATAAAATAAAAGCCCTAGCCGGTTTGGCTCAGTGGATAGAGCATCGGTCTGCGGACTGAAAGGTCCCAGGTTCGATTCCGGTCAAGGGCATGGACCTTGGTTGCGGGCACATCCCCAGTAGGAGGTGTGCAGGAGGCAGCTGGTCGATGTTTCTCTCTCATTGATGTTTCTAACTCTCTATCCCTCTCTCTTCCTGTCTGTAAAAAATAAATAAAATATATATATGTATATATATATATATATATATATATATATTTTTTTTTTTTTTTTTTTTTAAGCCCTAGCTGGTTTGGGCCAGTGGATAAAGCGTCAGTCTGCGGACTGAAGGGTCCCGGGTTCGATTCCAGTCAAGGGCATGTACCTTGGTTGCGGGCACATCCCAGTAGGAGGTGTGCAGGAGGCAGCTGGTCGATGTTTCTCTCTCATCGATGTTTCTAACTCTCTATCCCTCTCTCTTCCTCTCTGTAAAAAAAAACACCAATAAAATATATATATATATATATATATATTTTTTTTTTTTAAATTTGGACTGGACAGGGTGTTTAACCGGTGCCTGCCGTGGCAGGTGTCCCATCCCTGCTGGGGGGGCGGGTGTGGGCGGAGGGCGCCCCGCCCGTGGGTGAGCAGGGCCCGCCCTGGCCGTGGGCGTGAGGGTCACCCCTGCCCCTGCCTCTGCCCCCAGGGGAGGTGTTCTTCGTCACACGCCCGGAGCAGTTCACCTTCCAGGAGGCCCTGGAGTCCTGCCAGTCCCACAACGCCTCGCTGGCCTCCACCGGCCAGCTCTATGCCGCCTGGAGCCTCGGCCTGGACAAGTGCTACGCCGGCTGGCTGGCCGACCGCAGCCTCCGCTACCCCATCGTCACGCCCCGGCCGGCCTGCGGCGGGGACAAGCCCGGCGTGAGGACCGTCTACCTCTACCCCAACCAGACGGGCCTCCTGGACCCGCTGTCCCGGCACCACGCCTTCTGCTTCCGAGGTGGGTGTTCTCGCCTCTCCTCCGGCCCCCACTTCTGCCTGGGCGAGTGGGGTGACTCCCGGGGCTGAGGCCCGCTGGGTCCTGTCTCACTCTCCCTGTCCATCAGAACAAGAAAGAAAATGTCGCCAAAACCGGTGTGGCTCAGTGGATAGAGCATAGGCCTGCGGACTGAAAGGTCCCGGGTTCGATTCCGGTCAAGGCCACATGGACATTGGTTGGGGGCACATCCTCAGTAGGGGGTGTGCAAGAGGCAGCTGGTCGGTGATTCTCTCTCATCGATGTTTCTAACTCTCTTATCCCTCTCTCTTCCTCTCTGTAAAAAAATCAATCAAATAGCCGAGACCGGTTTGGCTCAATGGATAGAGCGTCGGCTTGGGGACTGAAGGGTCCCGGGTTCGATTCCGGTCAAGGGCATGTACCTTGGTTGCGGGCATATCCCCAGTTGGGGGTGTGCAAGAGGCAGCTGATTGATGACTCTCTCTCATCGATGTTTCTAGCTCTCTATCTCTCTCCCTTCTTCTCTGTACAAAATCAATAAAATATATATATTTTTAAAAATCAATAAAATACATATTTAAAAAAAGAAGAAGAAGAAGAAGAAGGGCCAGCGGGGGTAAAATGGGGGAAGGGGAAGAAGCCTGGTAAAAAGAAACCCTCACCACCACATCCCCTCTAGGTGTCTCAGCTGCGCCCTCTCCCGGAGAAGATCGGGGTGGCACGCCCACACCGCCCTCAGACGTGGAGGACTGGATCACCCCCCACGTGGGGCCCGGTGTGGCCGCTGTCCCCTCTGGGGAGGAGACCACCGCCGTCCCAGACTTCACCGCGGAGCCAGAAAACCGCACGGAACGGGAGGGAGCCTACACCCCAGCGGGCACCTTGCCGCTGCCAGGTCGGTGGAATTACACGGCCCAACACTCCTCAAGTTGGTGGGCTGGGTTCCAGTGAATGATTCTCACACTCAGTGGAGCAGCAGCCTCATTGGGTGGGGCTGGGCCCGCCCCCGACTCTGATTGGCTGGGGTTGGGGGGTCTGAGAATTGGCTTTTCTATCAAGCTGTCCCGGGACGCTGGTGCTTCTGGTCCAGGGACCACACTTTGAGAACCATGGGTTTAAATATATATTTTTATTGATTTCTCACAGAGAGGAAGGGAGAGGGATAGAGAGTGAGAAACATCGATGAGAGAGAATCACCGATCAGCTGCTAGGGTTGTGCCTGCACCAAGGTACATGCCCTTGACGGGAATCGAACCCGGGACCCTTCAGTCCGTAAGCCGACGCTCTATCCACTGAGCCAAACCGGTTTCGGCGAGAACCATGGGTTTAGATACGATGAGATGATGACGTGCAAGTACGTGAGGGTCACCTTGATTGCCCTCCGTGAGAGCCAGGCCCCCACACCCCAGTGGGTTGTATGGATGACACCACCTAAAAATCTCACAAAGTAGCCAAAACCGGTTTGGCTCAGTGGATAGAGCGTCGGCTTACGGACTGAAGGGTCCCGAGTTCGATTCCGGTTAAGGGCATGTGCCTTGGTTGCGGGCACATCCCCGGTAGGAGGTGTGCAAGAGGCAGCTGATCGATGATTCTCTCTCATCGATGTTTCGAACTCTCTATCCCGCTCTCCTCCTCTCTGTAAAAAATCAATAAAATATATTAAAAAACAAAATGGGCAGAGTTACTAAGTCCCCACCTTGTCTTTCTTCCCCTCGTCCTCCAGGGGTCCCTCCTACATGGCCTTCCACGAGCACAGCCACGGAGGAGAGCACAGAAGGCCCTTCAGCCACTGAAGTGCCCTTGGCCTCGGAGGAGCCATCCCCCTCAGAAATGCCATCTTCCTCGGAGATGCCATCCCCCTCAGAAATGCCATCTTTCTCGGAGATGCCATCCCCCTCAGAAATGCTATCCCCCTCCCAGGAGCCGCTGTTCACACCTTCACCCCCGGTGCCCAGCGGCATGGAGGTGCCAGGCTCCGGGGAGCCGTCCGGGGCCCCAGAAGCCAGTGGCGACTTCTCAGCCAGCGGAGAAGCCTCCGGACACCCGGGCGCCACGGGGCAGCCCCCGGAAGACCTTGACTCCCGTGGTGTCACCTTGCCGGCGGGCTCGGGCCTGCCAGTGGGGAGTGGGCTGGCCTCGGGGGATGAAGATGGAGTCACGTGGTCCAACACGTCTCAAGTGGGCCGGCTGCCTCCTGGGGGTGAGGGTCTGGAAGGCTCTGCCTCCGGAGGAGAGGACCTGGGTGGACTTCTTTCTGGAGGTGAGACTCTTCCAGAAAGTTCTACCTCTGGAGGAGAGGACCTCAGTGGACTTCCTAGTGGAGGTGAGGGTCATCTGGAGACGTCTACCTCTGGAGTAGACCTGGGCGGACTTCCTTCTGGAGGTGGGACTCTTCCAGAAAGTTCTACCTCTGGAGTAGACCTGGGTGGACTTCCTTCTGGAGGTGAGACTCTTCCAGAAAGTTCTACCTCTGGAATAGACCTGGGTGGACTTCCTTCTGGAGGTGAGACTCTTCCAGAAACTACTGCTTCTGGAGTAGAGGATCTTGGTGGACTTCCTTCTGGAGGTGAGACTCATCTGGAGACATCTACCTCTGGAGCAGACCTGGGCGGACTTCCTTCTGGAGGTGAGACTTTTCCAGAAAGTTCTACCTCTGGAGTAGACCTGGGTGGACTTCCTTCTGGAGGTGAGACTCTTCCAGAAAGTTCTACCTCTGGAGTAGACCTGAGTGGACTTCCTTCTGGAGGTGAGACTCATCTGGAGACATCTACCTCTGGAGTAGACCTGGGCGGACTTCCTTCTGGAGGTGAGACTTTTCCAGAAACTACTGCTTCTGGAGTAGAGGATCTTGGTGGACTTCCTTCTGGAGGTAAGACTCATCTGGAGACATCTACCTCTGGAGTAGACCTGAGTGGACTTCCTTCTGGAGGCGAGACTCTTCTAGAAGGTTCTGCCTCTGGAGGAGAGGACCTCAGTGGATTTCCTAGTGGAGGTGAGACTCATCTGGAATCATCTACCTCTGGAGTAGACCTGGGCGGACTTCCGTCTGGAAGAGACGGCGTGGAGCCCTCTGCCTCCAGAGCAGGGGAGGACCTCAGTGGCCTTCCTTCTGGGGGAGAGGGCCTAGGGGCCTCTGGCTCTGGGCCCGAGGACCTCAGCGGGCTGCCTTCCGGAAGCGAAGGCTGGACGGGATCAGCTTCTGGAGACCTGGACCTGGGCGGCCTGCCTTCTGGAACTCTCGGGAGCGGGCAGGCCCCGGAAGCCAGCGGCCTTCCCTCGGGATTCGGCGGGGAGTATTCCGGCGTGGACCTCGGAAGCGGCCCCTCCTCCGGCGCCCCGGACGCCAGCGGGCTCCCGACCGTCTCCTTGGTGGACACCACGCTGGTGGAGGTGGTCACGGCCCCCACCGCGGGGGAGCTGGAAGGCCGGGGCACCATCGGCGTGAGCGGCGCCGGCGAGGTATCCGGGCTGCCCTCCGGCGAGCTGGACATCAGTGGGGATGCGAGCGGGTTCCCGTCGGGAGCCGAATTCAGCGGGCAGCCCTCGGGACCTCCTGACGCCAGCGGGGAAGCCTCTGGATCCTTCGGGGTCAGTGGCCAGCCCTCCGGATTCCCCGACGTCAGCGGGGCGACATCTGGACTCTCTGAGCTCAGCGGGCAGCCCTCGGGGTCTCGGGAGGAAGCTTCCGGAATGGCCGAGCTCAGCGGACAGCCCTCCGGGCAGCCGGGCGCCAGCGGAGACGCTTCCGGAGACCTCGGCAGCGGCCGCCCCTTTGGCATCGTCGACCTGAGCGGGGAGCCATCCGGGGTCCCCGACCTCAGCGGGCAGCCGTCGGCGGGGTGGCCATGGTTCAGCGGGATCCCCGACCCGGGTTCCAGCGCGGCGAGCGGCAGCGGCGACGCCTCCGGGGTCACGTTCGTGGACGGCCCTCTGGTGGAGGTGACCCCGACCCCGTTTGAGGGAGCAGAAGAGGAAGGTTTGGGGTCCGTGGAGCTCAGCGGCCTCCCTTCGGGGGGGACGGACCTCTCGGGCGCCTCGGGCACGGCGGACGCCAGCGGGCAGCCGTCCGGGGCCACGGACGCCAGCGGGTGGGCACCGATGCCTCCGGACCTCAGCGGCCTGCCCAGCGGGGAAGCCTCGGGAGCCGAGGCGGGGAGCGGCGGCAGCGGCTTCCCCACCGTCTCGCTGGTGGACAGGACTCTGGTGGAATCCGTCACCGGGCCTCCGACGGCCCAGGAGGCGGGAGAGGGGCCTTCGGGCATCCTGGAACTCAGCGGCGCCCATTCCGGAGACCACTCGGGACTGCCCGAGCTGGGCGGGCTGCCGTCCGGGCTGGGCGAGCCCTCGAGCACCCCCTATTTCAGCGGGGACTTTTCGGGCGCCCCCGAAATAAGCGGGGAGTCTTCGGCCACCGCGGCGATCCCCGGCGGGGAGGTCACTCTGATCACGTCTGATTTTGTGGAGGCTGTCACCGCCCCGACGGTCTTCCAGGAACTGGGCCAGGGACCCCCTCTGACGCACGCCCCCCAGCTTTTCGAGGCCAGCGGAGACGCCTCCACATCGGGGGACCTCAGCGGAGCCACGCCCGGCTTCCCCGGGTCAGGGGCCGAAGCGTCGTCGGTCCCAGAATCCGGCAGCCAGACGCCTGCTTATACGGAGGCCGGGATGGGGGCGTCTGCGGCTCCTGAGGCCAGCGGGGCGGCTCCGGGGACCCCCGACGTGGGTGAAACCACCCCCGCCGTCCACGAAGCAGACCTGGAGGGAGGCTCAGGCCTCGGGGTGAGCGGCGGCAGCCCCTTTCCCTCCCAGGAAGGGCCCACGGAGGGCTCCTTCCCGTCGGGGATGAGCGGAGAGCCGACCACCGCCTACGAGGCGGCCACGGACACCTCGGGCTGGCCTCCGGCCGCTCCCCTGGCTTCCGGGGACGGGACGGAAATCAGCGGAGACCTTCCGTCCGGGCAGGCCTCGGGGCTGGGCGTTGTCATTGGGACCAGCGCCCCAGAGTTCGAATGGACCCAGCAGACCCAGCGCCCTGCAGAGGCGCACCTCGAAACGGAGTCCTCCAGCCCCTGGCACTCGGGAGAAGAGGCCCTAACAGCCCAGACAGCCGTCTTCCCGACGGACGCTTTTTCCATCCCAACTTCGGCAGAAGGGACAGAAGGATCGGAGGCAACCGCGACAGGTATGGCCGGCATCTTTTATCCCTTCCGATGTGTCTGGGCCATTCGGAGGGCAGCAGAGTAGGAGGCGGTGTAGATTCGAGGTTCTGAGCACGGCTCCCCCAGGGATGCGCTGTGCAGCCTCAGGCAAGTTTCTTGACCTCTCTGATCCTCACCCGTGACATGGGAATAGCACCAGGGGAGATTAAAGAGCACGTAACTACATATATATATATATATATATATATATATATATATATATATATATATCTCAAGTGCTGAGTATCAGAGTAGGCACCCAGGACACACTCAGAGAGATTTCATGATTGTGCCCTAGCCCAGTGGTCGGCAAACACATTAGTCCACAGCGCCAACTATCAACAGCACAACGCCTGAAATTTCTTTGGAGAGCCGAAAACCGATTTCTGCGCATGGGCCACGAAGTTTCAATCACACACTGTATGTGCGCGCCCGTGGTGTTCTGTGGAAGAGCCACACGCAAGGGGCCAAAGAGCCGCAGGTGGCTCGAGACCCATGGTTTGCCAACTCCTGCCCTAGCCTGTTTGGCTCAGTGGATAGAGCGCCAGCCTGCAGGCTGAAGGGTCCCAGGCTCCATTCTGGTCAAGGGCATGGACCTTGGTTGCGGGCTTGATCTCTTGCCCTGGTTTGGAGCATGTGCAGAAGCAACCAATGGATGTGTGTCTCTCTCACATCGATGTTTCTCTCTCTGTGTCTCTCTCTTCCACTCTCTCTAAAAAATCCATGGAGAAATATCCTCAGGGGAGGATGAACAACAGCGAAAGATTAGTGATTTTTTTTTTAATCTTTCTTTTTTTTAATATATTTTATTGATTTTTTACAGAGAGGAAGGGAGAGGGATAGAGAGTTAGAAACATCGCTGAGAGAGAAACATCGACCAGCTGCCTCTTGCACACCCCCTACCGGGGATGTGCCCGCAACCAATGTACATGCCCTTGACCGGAATCGAACACGGGACCTTTCAGTCTGCAGACCGACGCTCTACCACTGAGCCACACCGGTTTCGGCAAGATTAGGGATTGTTATCATTAAGTTACATCTTGATAACGTTTATGAGTGAACCTGATGACCTATCGTGGGCGCAGAGAGAGGGAATGATGTCTGGGTCGAGCGTGTCTATACAGCTCAGACTACCTGGGGCTAGAAGTCACGTCTTCATCTAAGGCATCTGTTCTGCGTGGCGGTTTAGGAGGACAGTGGTCGGCAAACTGCGGCTCCTGGGCCCCTTGAATGTGGCTCTTCCACAAAATACCACGGCCTGGGCGAGTCTGTGTTGAAGAAGTGGCATGCGAAGACGTTTCAGTTTAAAAAATGTGGCTCTCGAAAGAAATTTCCGTCGTTGTGTTTGAATTGTTTTTAGCTGGCTGTTGATAGCTGGCTCTGTGGACTAATGAGTTTGCCCACCACTGGGTAGGAGAGAAAAGTCAAGCTAAGGAATTAAATGGAGAAGTGGTCCGTGTAGCCAATGGTGACTTGAGGATCGGAATGCGAAATGTGCTTGAATTGTTTTTTTCCTTTTTAAGTATATTTTTGTTGATGTCAGAGAGGAAGGAGAGGGAGCGAGAGAGAAACATCAATGATAAAGAATCATTGATTGGCTGCCTCGTGCATGCCTCACACTGGGGATGTAGCCTGCAACCCGGGCATGTGCCCTTGACGGGAATCGAACCCAGGACCCTTCAGTCCTCAGTCCAGTGCTCTATCCGCTGAGCCACACCAGCTACGACATGGGCTTGAATTTTGAAGGTAAAATTTGAGACTTCCAAGAAATGCTGAATGAGGGTGTGTATTGGGGATAGCCAGTCATGCTCCATGGCCCCTGTGGGAACACTCGGAAGGGCTGTTGCCTGACTAGCAATCAGGGCCATTTGGGGCCAATAAGGGCCAATGGCCGGGGCAGGGAGGGGGCCATGGGAGGTTGGCCAGCTGCATGAGGTTGGCTATGGGAGCACACTAACCACCAGGGGGAACTCCTGCTTTGAGCATCTTCCCCCTGGTGGTTCAGTGCATATCATAGCAACCGGTCATCTGGTTGACTGGTTGTAATGGTTGCTTAGTCTTTTATATATATATAGATATATTTTTTTAATTGATTTCAGAGAGGAAGAGAAAGGGGGAAAAAAGAATAAAGAAGAGAGAGATAGAAACATCAATGATGAGAGAGAATCCTGGATCAGCTGCCTCCTGCACACCCCCTCCTAGGAATGGATGAAGCCCACAACTTGGGCTTTTGCTCTGACCAGGAATCAAACCGTGACCTCCTGGTTCATAGGTCAATGGTCAACCCCTGAGCCACACCAGTGGGCTCGAATCATGCCTTTTAAAAAGCCTTTATCCCCAGACAGCTTTGTGAATAGCTTGGTCACCTCATCTGTTCCCTTACCCCTGGCGCATTGATGTTGGGGGGATATTGTGTGTGAGACGTAGCACCTGGCTCAGGACCCTTCCTGAGAAATCTTGGGTCCCTCTCTCTCCTCTCTTCCTTCATGTAATCTACCCATTGCCCAAATCTACCCTTCCTGTCCCCTCTCCCCCGGCCCCCCTGCCGCCACCTTGTCTGGGGTCCCCCACTCTGTGCTCGCTCCCAGCGGAGCTGGCCCCACTTCCTCTCATGGTTCCAGAAGATGAGCAGTGTCTAAGGTGACCAGATCGTCCAGGAGTTGGCGGGACAGTCCTGATTGATTACTAACAATTTTTTTAAGTTCCGATTTTGGGAAATATTGGAAACATTGGAAAGATTCTTTCCAAAAATCGGGACTTTTAAAAAAAAAAATTGTTAGAAATCAATCAGGACTGTCCCGCCAACACCTGGATGAGCTGGTCACCTTAGTAATGGCCTAACTGCCCTTCATGGAAAGAGATGGCCACGCCGGGCCAGGGTGGCCATAAAGACACCCCATCGGGGCCATCAGCCCTCTTCCTACAGCCGGGGATGCTGATCACAGCCTCCCCGAACTCCCTACCCCACCCCTGGGACACCCACAGGCTGTCTGGACTCCAGGACAGTCACCCTTCCTTCCCGTCTGACATGTGAACCCAGGGCCCTGCAGAACAGAAGGCAAAACAAAGCTGCTCCCTGAAACCTCGGGCCTCATGGGATTGGGGGAATGGGGGGGGCTGATAGAAGCTACTGGAACACCTGGAAGCCACCTGGCCGGGCCTCCCCGGGGCCTCTGCCCGCCCCCTGCCCTCTCCTCCGTGGTCTGGGCACCAGCCCCCAGGGCTGACACCTGCCTAAGGTGACCAGACGCCCCGCTGTTGGCGGGACAGTCCCGATTTTTAACAATGTGTCCCGCGTTGAACATCAGGACTGTCCCGCCAAAAGCAGGACTTCTGCTCACCTTACCCCTGCCCTGCCCCGCTCTGTACAACTGCTTTAGCGCCTCCATTTGCTTATTGCCCCCCTCACCCAGTGCTCCCCACCTCCCGCAATGACTCCGCTAGTGGACAAAGGAGAGCGGCCGCCCCCAGCTTCCGCCGGCCCACCAGCCTGACCTATTGCTGCTCCTGCTGCTGCTGGGAACCCAAGTGCATGCTGGGATTGCAGCCATGCATTTGGGTTTTGCTTGGAACAGTTCCGGACCCGGAACTGTCCGTGCCCCTAGTCGCCTAGTCCGCGGTGTGTGCACTCCGCCCGCCCCCGAGAGGAAGTGAAGGCGTTCCGGCAAGAGAGAGGCGCCTGCAGACCCAACCCTCCTCCAGGCGCCACCCGCGGGGCAACAGCGGGGAGAAGAGTCCAGAAGGAAATGCATCTGCCTTCTCATGGGAGGACTGGCTCTCGGGAGAGAGGCAAGAACTAATGCTTGCTCGCCCGGAGGCCCGCCCTTAGGCATGTGGGATCCTGATGATTCACATACCAATCGCACAGATTCACAGACCAAGGCTGAGCCACGTAGCGGAATCCCCCGTGAGCCCGAGGGACCCATTCACGGCAGACTCGCATCGATCTCCTGGGAAGAGGAGGTCCCCGGTTCCATGCAATTTGTTCCCAGGAAAGACCCAGCGGGAGCCCCTGGAGTGCCAACAGCAAAGTCCCCAGCTTCTCAGAAAGACGAGATTTAGGAGGAGATGCGGGGCCTACCTTGGCCAGTGGAGAAAAACTCAAGGCAGAAGCCAACGGCATACGGATTCAAGTCCTGCAAAGAAGTCAGGTTAGAAAGAACCGCTTGGACCAGAAAAACAGAGGGGAAGAGAGGGCCTGGGAAGGAGCGGCTGATGGGAACCTCCCTGTGTCCCACGTGGCCACCTACTAAGTGCACATGGCCACCTACTAAGTGCCTCGCCGGCCGGCTTCAAACATGGGCCCCCCATCAGCCAGGAGGGAGCCCCTCTGAAGTTGTGAGTCACTGGAGCCCTTAAACACAAACAAGGTTTCCTGGGGCAGTGGTCGGCAAACTCATGGGTCCACAGAGCCAAATACCAACAGGACAACGATTGACATTTCTTTGGAGAGCCACGTTTTTTTAAACTGAAACTTCTAACACCACTTCTTCACCATAGACAGGCCCAGGCCGTGGCATTTTGTGGAAGAGCCACACGCAAGGGGCCCGAGAGCCGCATGTGGCTCATGAGCCACAGTTTGCCGACCACGGACCTGGGGGGAGGTTGAGCTGGGTTTCTAGCTCTCCCCCTAGCCCCCAAGCTACATCTTCAGAAGATGCTCCAATATCTTACTTACGCAAGACAAGAGCGGTGTCTGCAGCCCACAGATGTCCGTGGCCCCCACGCACACATCCTATCCTGCCACGTTCTCGTGGGTTCTCACGCTGCAGACCCCTCATTCCCTCAGGCTTCGCACAACGACAGAAGAAGAGAAGGAAAGGAAGACTTAGCCATGCTTCAAGAACTAGACTTCGGTGTCCCTGCTCAACGCCAGATCAGACCCCTGGCTGCTTTTTTATTGATTTCAGAGAAGGGAGAAGGAGTGAGAGAGAAACATCAATGATGAGAGCGAATCGTGGATCAAGCCTGCAATCCAGGCATGTGCCCTGAGCGGGAATCGAACCGTGACCTCCTGGTTCCTAGGCCGGCGTTCAACCACTGAGCCACGGGGGCCGGGCCCCACGGCTTCTTGAAAGAGTCTCAAGAGAAGGCATCCGGGAGGTACTCGGTGCTCAGTCACTCCAAGAGGCATTTGGCTTTGGAAATGTCGACTCTGTCAAATGCTTGGAAATCAGCTCCACGCTCAGCTTGTCAATCAAGAATCACGTGCATCCAGGGGACTCCTTGCTGGACCTTTGTCTCAGATTCCAGATGGCAGTGGCGGCGACAGCAGCAGCAGCAGCAGCAGCAGCAACGGTTCTCAGGAAACCCAGCCACCCCTTCCAGGGCTCAGGAGAGCCGCAGGGCCGGCCACCGGGAGAGAGGCCACAGGGCAGGCGTGGCCGGCGTGGCCAGCGGGCGTCCTAACGGTGGCCCTTGGTTTCTTGCAGACATTGATGAGTGCCTCTCAAGTCCTTGTGTGAATGGAGCCACCTGCCTGGACACCGTCGACTCTTTCACATGCTTATGCCTTCCCAGCTACCAAGGGGACCTGTGTGAGATCGGTACGGCCGGCCGTCTCGGCTTCAGCTAATGTCGCTAACCGCTGCACCTCCCGTCCTCCTCCTCCTCCTCCCTCACCCTCCCCTGCTAACCCAGAGAGCTGGTGCGGGAGCCACAGCGAGAAGTCCACCCCGACTCACCCCCACTCTTTCTGTTCCTGTCCCACCTCCGGGGCAGCGGCTGATAACGCAGGAAAGATATGCGAGCCAGGCCAGTCTGCACTTCGTTTTGTTTTTTTATATATTTTATTGATTTTTTTTACAAAGAGGAAGGTAGAGAGGAAGAGAGAGTTAGAAACATCGATGAGAGAGAGACATCGATCAGCTGCCTCCTGCACACCCCCCACTGCGGATGTGCCCGCAACCAAGGTACATGCCCTTGACCGGAATTGAACCCGGGACCTTTCAGTCTGCAGGCCGATGCTCTATCCACTGAGCCAGACTGGTTTCGGCGAGCCTGTACTTTGGAATGTGGGGCTCTAGGTGGCCTTTATTTTAATATATTTTTATTGATTTCAGAGAGGAAGAGAGAGGGAGAGAGAGAAACAGCAATGGTGAGAGAGACTCATGGATCAGCTGCCTCCTGCACGCCCCACACTGGGGATCAAGCCCACAACCTGGGCATGTGCCCTCACTGGGAATCGAACCGTGAACTCCTGGTTCCTAGGTCCACGCTCAAACACTGAGCCACGCTGGCTGGGCTCCGGGAGACCTTTAAAACACTAACTTTAACTTATTCCTAGCTGATTTGGCTCAGTGGATAGAGCATCAGCCTGCGGACTGAAGGGTCCCGGGTTCCATCCCAGTCAAGGGCACATGCCCAGGTTGCAGGCTCCATCCCCAGTAAGGGGCGTGCAGGAGGCAGCAGGTCCATGATTCTCTCTCATCATGGATGTTTCTCTCCCGCTCCCTTCCTCTCCGAAAGCAACAAAAACATGTTTTAAATGAATGCTGAGTCAATAACACGCTAACCTCTCACGGACGATGCCACGGTCAAGGCTGCACGCCTCACTCTTAAGCGGACAGAGCCCGTTCCGCGCGCGCTGCCCTTGAAGGAAGCCGTAGGCGGGAGTAACTGATTCTCGCTCAGATTGACAGCCAGGGATCTTCCCCTCGTGGGCATGCGCCTGAACCTGTGTCTGCTGCCTTGTGGCCCGTGGGACCTCAGGGGGCCTCTCCGTGGCCTGGGGAGCCACGGGGCCTCACAGGCCAAGCTGCCTTCCCCTTTGCCTGCCTGAGAGATCCCGTGTCACCCACATGCCCTGAGCTGCTGTCGCCCTCTCCTCTTCACCATGGTGACCAATGCCATGACGATGCCACTCGGGCCCACACTTCCTCCCTCCCTCCCCTGCCCAAGGCAGAGGGCTGGCCAGGGAGAACGGAGCCTTGGTGCGAGAGGCGAAGGCTGAGGTTCATCTCTTGGGCCTTGCCTGACCCTCTGCTTCTGTGGCCAGGCTGAGTGCCAGGCCGAGCTCTCCCCACCTCCCTCACCAGGGCCCCCCATCCTGGCTCTCAGGGCCATCCCAGCTCAGCTTGGGGGAGATGAGAATGATGGTTGCTAGCAGCAATGGCCCCTTGAGAACTGGAATTGTTCGTGGGCTTAAAGCCATTTTCTTTTCATGTATGTTTATGGATTTCAGAGAGGGGGAGAGAGGGAGAGAGAAGCATCCATGATGAGAGGGAATCACGGATCGGCTGCCTTCTGCAAGCCCTCTCCTGGGGAATCGAGCCTGTAACCCAGGCACATGCCCTTGACCGGGAATCGAACCCCGACCTCCTGGTTCATAGGTTGACGCTAACCACTGCACAACACCGGCTGTGCAAAAGTCACGTTTAATGCACGCTCAGGCTGGACATGCCGGAAACCTGCAGAGAGCAGCGGGCGCTCCTGGGCAGTCTGCCTTGGGCGCTGAGCAGTGTGGGAGGCAGTAGGATCGCGTGTTTCCTCGGAGGCATTGCCGAGGTCGGGGGAGCGTAAGGGGTCTCCTCCCCGCAGCCTCCCATCCTCCCCTCTCCCCCCTCCCGAGTGCCCAAGACATCGGTGCATGGGGTCCCGGCTGGGGGTGGGGGAAGGGAGGTATAAGAGTTTTCTCCACAGGATGCCAACCTATTTGTCATCGGAGAGAAGGATCTGGAAGGTCCCTACGGACCACAGCTCTCAGGGGCCAGGCTGGGAGAGGGGGTGTCCTGTGGGCGTGGAGGCAGGGCCCTCACAGGCCACTGGATGGAGCCAGAGCCACCCAGCTGGGCCCTGGGTGCGGGCACCCAGTTAAGCGGGACGGCGTTCCCTGTCCCGTTCCATCCTGAGCCCACACCACCCCCAGGCCCTCATGCCTGGGCTCTGGTCCCCCTGCTTCTCCCACTCCCAGCCCCCCTGGAATGCTGGGGCTGCTTCCTTATCTCCCCATCTTCTCTTCTCTCCCCCCACTCCCCACCCTCGGCCTCCATCCTGCATGTATGGCCCTGCCTCTCCTGGGCAGCTGCTTGTACCAGCTGGTCCATCAGACACTGACGTAGCCCAAGAATGGACCCCACAGCCCCTCCTGGAGTGACGTGATTGCTACACCAGCTCCGGGGGCAGCCTGGGGGACGGATAGCCTTCTTTCCGACCTTTAGGGGGGGGGCATTGGCTGAGGGGAACAGACCGGATTCCTCTGATCATCCCCACCCCTTGCTGCTCTGCCTCTTATTTCTCAGCCTGCTGGCCTCCCCCTCTCTCCTCAGCTCTTCCCACCGGCCACGCCTGCACCCCGCCCTCCTGAGTCCCCTTCCCCTCGGAACTGGTCCTCTCTCCCCGGGGGGCTGCCCAGGGCCCTGGGGCTCCTTCACTTGGGGGACCCCGGGCGAAAGGGAAGACGGGGTCTGGGGATTCCCTCCGCCCGGTGCTGTGCCCGCAAATGTGCAAATGGGTTTTGTTATTTTTTTTTATTGTTTTTTTTTACAGAGAGGAAGGGAGAGGGATAGAGAGGTAGAAACATCAATGAGAGAGAAACATCCATCAGCTGCTTCCTGCACACCCCCCACTGGGGATGTGCCCGCAACCCAGGTACATGCCCTTGACCGGAATCGAACCTGGGATCCTTCAGTCCGCAGGCCGACGCTCTATCCACTGAGCCACACCGGCTTTGGCATGTGCCCGCAGATGTTTAACAACGGGCTCTCACAGGCAGCATCCGCCAGTGTCCGAGGGAGAGCACTTCCACCCAGGCCCGTTGAAGGCGGCCGCTGGGACGTGGCCAGAGGGAGAGTTGGGGAGACACAGGCAGCCGGAGAGCCAGTGTCAGCCTCCCCCGTCCTTCCCCTCTCCCCGCCTGTCCGTCCCCCAGGCTGCCCCCGGAGCTCAGGAGCTCAGAGCTCGTGACCCACAGAGCTTTGTGGGGGGGAGGGACCCTCTTCCCCGCCTCTCACCTGCCCCCCAGAGAGAAAATCAGAAGCCAGGACCCTGCCCTGATCAGTTTGGCTCAGAGGATAGAGCATCGGCCTGCGGACTGAAGGGTCCCGGGTTCGATTCCGGTCAAGGGCATGTACCTTGGTTGCGGGCACATCCCCAGTAGGGGGTGTGCAGGAGGCAGTTGATCGATGTTTCTCTCCCATTGATGCTTCTAACTTTCTATCCCTCTCTCTTCCTCTCTGTAAAAAATCAATAAAATATATATTTTTTTAAAAACAAAACAAAAACAAAAAACAGGACCCTCCCTGGGTTGGCTGCTTGGCCCTTTAAGAGGGAGACACCTGCCAAAACCGGTTTGGCTCAGTGGATAGAGCATCGGTCTGCGGACTGAGAGGTCCCAGGTTCGATTCCGGTCAAGGGCATGTACCTTGGTTGCGGGCACATCCCCAGTAGGGGGTGTGCAAGAGGCAGCTGGTCGATTTTCTCTCTCATCGACGTTTCTAGCTCTCTATCTCTCTCCCTTCCTCTCTGTAAAAAAAATCAATAAAATATATTTTTTTTTTAAAAAGAGTGAGACACCTGTGCACTGAGCTAGAGCCAGCTCAGACGGAATGACGGACGGACGGACTGACTCGCAGCTCTGCGTCCTCTTTGGACTCAGAGCAGACTGACTTCTGCTCCTCTGTCCCCACCCCATGGTCCGTCCCTTCATGGCCCCAGTTCTGCCTCCGGCTGCTGCCGCCTTCACACACCCCTCCCCTCAACCCCCTCTCTCCCTAGAGACCCTCAGAGCCTCCAGAGCAGGCAGACACAGGAGAGAAGCTGGGAGGGAGGGGGGGAGAAGGAAGGGGCATGAGAAAGAGGGGGGGCCAGGCCTCCCTGGCTTCCACCCTGAATCCCCATCCCCCTGGGCCTCTCGCCGCCTCTGAAGGGGTGACCTCCAAGGCAGGCAGGGTGAGCACAGGCGTCATGGCCAGGAGGCTGGTGGCCTCGGCCCCTCCCGTCAAGCCCCCCGCCCCCCCCCCCTGTGTTGCAGACCAGGCGCTGTGCGAGGACGGCTGGACCAAGTCCCAGGGCCACTGCTACCGCCACTTCCCCGAGCGCGAGAGCTGGGTGGACGCCGAGAGCCGCTGCCGGGAGCACCAGGCCCACCTGAGCAGCATCCTCACCCCCGAGGAACAGGAGTTCGTCAACAGTGAGTGCGCCGGGGTCTCCGGCCCCAGAGGGAAGGGGCCGGGAGCCAGCAGACTGGGACCCAGCAAGGCTGCAAGGGTGAGGGGTGGGGGGCAGAGAGTCTTTGGGGCCACTGGCAATCCTGCTGCACCCAGGACAGCCCAGCATCTGTCAGAGTCAGCCCCCGGCCCTGGGCGGTGTGGCTCAGTGGGTAGAGCATCGGCCCGCGGACTGAAGGGTCCCGGGTTCGATTCCGGTCAAAGGCACATGCTCGGGTTCCAGGCTCAATCCCCAGTGGGAGGCGTGCAAGAGGCAGCCGATCCATGATTCTCTCTCATCATCGATGTGCCTGTCACTCTTTTTCTCCCTCTTCCTGGCTCTCGGAAATTAATAAAAACGTACTTCAAGCCCTGACCGGTTTGGCTCAGTGGATAGAGCGTCGGCCTGTAGACTGAAAGGTCCCAGGTTCGATTCCGGTCAAGGGCATGTACCTTGGTTGCAGGCACATCCCCAGTGGGGGGTATGCAGGAGGCAGCTGATGGATATCTCTCTCATGGATGTTTCTCTCTATCCCTCTCCCTTCCTCTCTGTAAAAAAATCAATAAAATATATCTGTAATGTCCTTTAAGAAGAAAAATCAGCCCAGAGTAACCCCATGGCTGTCACCAGCCTGTTGCCAGCTGGGGGCGGCGGCGGCAGCCGCTCCCAGCATGCATGTGCCCTTGACAGGAGGGGCCCTTGGACCTCAGCAGCAGATGCCATGTATCCTGGGAGCGCATCCACGTCCCCTCCCCCCCCCCCGCCCCCAGTCCCTCTGCCTCTGTGAGCTCCAGGGTGCCTCCACCCCAATGCCCGTGTCCCCCCCGCAGACAACGCTCAGAACTACCAGTGGATTGGCCTCAACGACCGGAGCATTGAAGGGGATTTCCGCTGGTCAGACGGACACTCCCTGGTGAGTTCTGCCCGGCCCGGCAGCGTGGGCAGCTCCGATGAGGAGGGATAGAGACCCCTGAGAGAGACGCAGTCCAGCCACACCCAGAGCAGCCGTTGCTCCAGGCCCTCGGGGCAGGGGCGGCGGGTGGGGAGGTTGGGGGGAGGGGGAGGTGGTGTCTCGCTCATCTCTGCCTTCCAACATCAGCCCAGGGCCGGACACGGTGAGCGAGTGACCCCATGAGGGAAGGTGGAGGGCAGTGAATGAATGAATGAATAAATGAATGAATGAAGGCAAACCACCCTGCGAGACGAATGGAAGCTTTAGAGGCCCACAGAGGACTCATGTGGACTCAGACAGACAGACAGACAGCACCATAGTCGCCACAGGAACAGCACACATAGTGCTCAAGTGGCTCAGACGTTCCAGAAGGCTTTCCGGCCCGGCCGGCGTGGCCCAGGGGTTGAGCATCAACCTATGAACCAGGGGGTCACGGTTCGATCCCCGGTCAGGGCACAGGCCCGGGTTGCAGGCTCGATCCTCAGTGTGGGGCGTGCAGGGAGGCAGCTGATCAGTGATTCTCATCATTGATGTTTCTGTCTCTCCCTCTCCCTTCCTCTCTGAAATCAAAAAAATATATCTATATGTATATGTATATATGTATATCTTTTTTTTAAAGCCCTAGCCAGTTTGGCTCAGTGGATGGAGCATCAGCCTGCAGACCAAAGGGTCCTAGGTTCGATTCCGGTCAAAGGCATGTACCTCGGTTGCAGGCTCCTCCTAGGTGTGCGGGTCCCGGTCCAGGCACATGCAGAAGGCAATCAATGTGTCTCTGTCACATCGATGTTTCTCTCTGACTCTCCCTCTCTCTTCCACTCTCCCTAAAACTCAGTGGGAAAATAACCTCGGATGAGAATTAATGAGAGAGAGAGAGAGAGAGAGAGGGAGAGAGAGAGAGAGAGAGAGAGATATGCTGGGTGTGACAGAAGAGAAAGTGGGGTCAGGCCAGGTGGCTTCTGTGCGGGCCTCACCCCTGCCCCGCTCCCACCCACAGCAATTTGAGAACTGGCGCCCCAACCAGCCCGACAACTTTTTCGCCTCCGGGGAGGACTGCGTGGTGATGATCTGGCACGAGAAGGGCGAGTGGAACGACGTGCCCTGCAATTACCACCTGCCCTTCACGTGCAAGAAGGGCACAGGTAAGCAGGACTTCCCGGTCCAGCCCGGGCCGGTGTGGCTCAGTGGATAGAGCGTCAGCCTCAGTAGACGGAAGGGTCCCGGCTTCGATTCCGGTCAAGGGCGCGAACCCTGGTGGCTCCATTCCCCCCCGGCCTCGTTGAGGCGAGTTTGGGAGGCAACCAATCTCTGTGTCTCCCTCACACCCATGTTTCTTTCTGTAAGTCTCTCCCCCTCCCTTCCACTCTCTCTAAAAATCAATGGAAAGCCGAAACCGGTGTGGCTCAGTGGATAGAGCGTCGGCCTGCAGACTGAAAGGTCCCGGGTTCGATTCCAGTCAAGGGCATGTACATTGGTTTCGGGCACATCCCCAGTAGGGGGTGTGCAGGAGGCAGCTGGTCGATGTTTCTCTCTCATCGATGTTTCTGACTCTCTGTCCCTCTCCCTTCCTCTCTGTACAAAATCAATCAAGTATATTTAGAAAGAACATCCATGGCCGGGACCGGTTTGGCTCAGTGGATAGTGTTGGCCTGCGGATTGAAGGGTCCCGGGTTCGATTCCGGTCAAGGGCATGTACCTTGGTTGCGGGCACATCCCCAGTAGGGAGTGTGCAAAAGGCAGCTGATCAATGATTCTCTCTCATCGATGTTTCTAACTCTCTATCCGTCTCTCTTCTTCTCTGTGAAAAATCAATTTAAAAAAATATATATAAAAAAAAAAGAAAGAAAGAACATCCATGGAGCTTGCTGGCATGGATTCAGATCGCCAGCCCCCCACATGCCAGGGTTCTATTGGAATTAGCCCGCCTTGCGAGCCTTCTCCTGACGGGTGTCTGCCCCCCAGTGGCCTGCGGAGAGCCCCCCGCGGTGGAGCACGCCAGGACCTTCGGCCGGAAGAGGGAGCGCTACGAGATCAACGCGCTGGTGCGGTACCAGTGCACCGAGGGCTTCGTCCAGCGCCATGTGCCCACCATCCGGTGCCTGCCCAGCGGGCACTGGGAGAAGCCCCGCGTCACCTGCACAGACCGTGAGCACCGCCCCTCCCGCCCTGGCCCGGCACCCCGCGTCCCCCTTCCTGCCCCGGAGCACCTGCGTGCTGGCCCTGGTGACCCCACACCCTCACGGGCAGCACCGTCTGTGGGCATGGCCACCTGTTTCTGCCCCTCCAACCCGCCCGGCCCCAGGGGCAGAGGAGAAAGCAGGCAGCCTGCCCCCCCCCCTCAAACCCAGCCCAAGCCCCTTAGCCCAAGTTGGTTTAAGAAAACTCAAGACGGGCCCTCACTGGTGTGGCTCAGTGGGTAGAGCGTCGGCCTGCAGACTGAAGGGTCCCGGGTTCGATTCCTGGTCTAAGGGCACGTACCTTGGTTGCAGGCCCATCCCCAGTGCAGGGGTGTACAGGAGGCAGCTGATCGATGTTTCTCTGTCATCAATGTTTTCTAACTCTCTATCCTTCTCCCTTCCTCTCTGTGAAAAATCAATATTTTTAAAAAGAAAGAAAGAAAACTCAGACAGGCCCCAGCTGGTTTAGCTCAGTGGGTAGAGTGTTGGCCTGAAGATTGAAGGGTCCCGGGTTCGATTCCGGTCAAGGGCATGTACCTTGGTTGCTGGCACATCCCCGGTAGGGGGTGTGCAAGAGGCAGCTGGCGATGTTTCTCTCTTATCCATGTTTCTAACTCTGTATCCCTCTCCCTTTCTCTCTGTTAAAAAAAAAAAAAAATCAATATAAAATATTTTTTTAAATATATTTTATTGATTTTTTTACGGAGAGGAAGGAAGAGGGATAGAAAGCTAGAAACATCGATGAGAGATAATCATTGAATAGCTGCCTCTTGCACACCCCCTTCCAGGAATGTGCTCGCAGCCAAGTACATGCCCTTGACTGGAATCGAACCTGGGACCCTTCAGTCCGCAGGCTGAAGCTCTATCCACTAAGCCAAACCGGTTTCGGCAAAATATTTTTTTTAAAAAAAACTCAGGCCGAAACCGGTTTGGCTCAATGGATAGAGCGTCGGCTTGGGGACTGAAAGGTCCCGGGTTCGATTCCGGTCAAGGGCATGTACCTTGGTTGCGGGCATATCCTCAGTAGGGGGTGTGCAAGAGGCAGCTGATCGTTGACTTTCTCTCATTGATGTTTCTAACTCTCTATCCCTCTCCCTTCCTCTCTGTACAAAATCAATAAAATATATATTTTTTTTAAAATCAGAAGGTAGGGAAAAAAAAACCTCTCTAGCCTGGGCTTCTGCAGGGAGAGGGCAGGCAGGACAGGGAGGAGCCGGGCTGAGACCCATTTTTCTGGGTTGGGGTTCACCAAGACTGTCCCCTCTCCCTCCCCCAGCCGCCACCTACAAGCGCAGACTACAGAACCGGAGTCCCCGGGCCGCCCGGAGGAGCCGCCCCAGCACGGCCCACTGAGAGGGCCCCGCCGCGCCCCGGATGCTGAGCCGAGTCCGTCCCCTCGGACGGGGTCCTCCGCCCGTCGCTTTCTGCCTAAAGGAACCCCGTGAAAGAAGGAACACGTGAAATCCCACAGTGTGTATGCCCCCCCCCCCCGCCCCACCGCCCGGAACGGCCAAACACACGCATCGGACTCCCCCTCCATCCCCCCCTGTCCCTCCCCATTCCCCCCAAACATATGCCAAAGCGAAGCAGACGTATGTAACCCGTGGACCGAGTGCAGAGGTTTCTGGACCCTCCCGACATGCCCTTCGGGGACCAGTGCAGGGACAGGGAGCAGGGGGGTGGGGGGGTTAAGTTAAATAAAGAAGATTATTTTCTGTTTGCTGACTTTATGCAAGAGCAGTGCAATCGATCGCTGGTTCTTCCCGACCTCCAGGGAGAGCTAGGGAGGAGGGAGGAGGAGCGGGAGGAGCTGGGAGGGGCAGAGGCCTGGGACAGGAAGAGCGGGGAGCCACAGCTGAATGTACAGACTCTTCCGTCCTTCCGTCCGTCCGCCCGTCCGCCCGCCCGCCCGGCGTCCCCTCACCCGGCCTGCCACCCTAGCAGGTGCCATCTCTCTCGGCAGGGCTGGGTGGGGGCACCTCCTCCTTCCCCGTGGGAGCACCCCCGTCCCTCCTCCTCCCTCCCCTGTCCCCACCCCCTCCCCACCGGGACCGTGCAGGCACCAGGGTTCCGCGCACCTATTTATATTTTTGGAAATTGAAGATTATGATAATTATAATAATAAAGACGTTGGAAGAGATCCATTTCTTTTCCCTTTTTTTCTTTTTCTTTTTAATTTAAAGAGGTAACCGTGATCTAGGGTCTACTAAAGGGGTGGCCTTAGGATGGGTGGTAGCGGGGGGGACAGGTTTTGGTCAAATAACCCCATATGGGGAATCCTATCTGTTCAGAGAGCCTGGGACAGTCTGTGCTTTGATTTTGCAAGAGCACAGGTGGGATGGATGGAGAGAGAAGCGGGGAAAGAGTATGTGTGTGTGTGTGTGTGTGTGTGTGTGTGTGTGTGTGTGTGAGAGAGAGAGAAAGAGAGAGAGAGAGAGAGAGAGAGAGAGAGAGAGACAGGGAATGGGTCACATTCCCATAGTTGGTCCTTTAAAAAAAAAAAACTTATTTTTTATTTGTTTTTATTTTATATTGATTTCAGAGAGGAATCTCTCCCTTTCCCTTCCTCTCTAAAAGCAATAACAGTACTTTTTTTAAAAAAAAATTTAAGTTGAGCCCTAACCGGTGTGGCTCAGTGGATAGAGCATCGGCCTTCGACTGAAGGGTCCCAGGTTCGATTCCGGTCAAGGGCACATACCTTGGTTGCGGGCACATCCCCAGTAGGAGGTGTGCAGGAGGTGGCTGATCGATGTTTCTCTCTCATCGATGTTTCTAACTCTCTATCCCTCTCCCTTCCTCTCTGTAAAAAATCAATAAAGTAGATATTTTTTTAAAAAACTTAAGTTGAGAAGTATAAAAACAATAGACAACATGATCCACTTAGTAAACACAGTGAGGGGGGTGGCATGGGCAGGCAGGCGGCCGGCTCTAGCGAGGAGGGCGGTAACAGTAGACCCCGTACTTTCGGCTCTGCAGGTCCGGGAAGCCGAAGCTTCGGACCCAGGGCTCCGGGGGCCCGCAGGCGGGGCGTGGGCGAGCCACGGGGTAGCGGGCGCTGCCGTCGGCCAGCCAGCCGGTGTCGCAACCGTCCAGGCCGTGGAACTTCCAGGCGGCAAAGAGCTGGCCCACCGTGGCGATCTGGGCCCCGTCTTCCTGGCAGGCGACCTTGGCCTCGGAGAGAATCAGCTTCTCGGGGTGCTCCAGGTAGTACACCCGCCCTGTGGAAACGTGGGGGTGAGGGCCGGGCAGCGGAGGGGACGGTCGGACCCGCAGCACCGCCTGCCGAACAGACATCACTACCCAGACCTCAAAGATCTGTCTCATCTCTGAGCCCAGGGAGCCCCCATGGGCTCTGACCTCTCTGTGCCTCAGTTTCCTCATCTGTAAAACGAGGGTATTATGCCGAGACCGGTTTGGCTCAGTGGATAAAGCGTCAATCTGCAGACTGAAGGGTCCCGGGTTCGATTCCTGTCAAGGGCAAGAGGCAGCTGATCGATGTTTCTCTCTCATGGATGTTTCTAACTCTCTATCCCTCTTCCTTCCTCTCTGTAAAAAAACAATAAAATATATTCTAAAAAATAAATAAACTTAAACTCCTTCTAACGCCACTTCCTCAACATAGACCCACCCAGGCCGTGGTATTTTGTGAAAGAGCCACCCTCAAGGGGCCAAACAGCCGTGTGTGGTTCAGAAGCCGCAGATTGCCAACAGCTGAGCTAAAGCAATAAAAATACATTGAGAAGAAGAAAAAAAAACAAAAAAAAACAAAATCGGTTTGGCTCAGTGGATAGAGCATCAGCCTGTTGGACTCAAGGGTCCCGGGTTCGATTCCGGTCAAGGGCATGTACCTTGGTTGCGGGCACATCCCCAGTGTGGGGTGTGCGGGAGGCAACTGATCGATGTTTCTCTCTTTCCCTCTTCCTTCCTCTCTGTAAAAAAATCAATAAAATATATATTAAAAAAAAAAAAAAGAATGTTTACTTTGCTCGTGATTCCCCGGGTTGGCAGTTTGGCCTGCAAAGCCACAATAGTGGGCACAGGGAGAGGTGCCCCAGGGCAGGCAGAGGGCCCCCTCCCCCCCCCCCACTGCAGCACCCAGGTGCTCCCGGCCACCCACAGGCCGTGCTGGGCCCCCCCACTCACCCCTGAAGGCAGGGGCGAAGCAGAACACGTCGTCGTAGCGGTGCAGACGGCGGTGGCGGGGCCCGTAGCTGCGGACGCCGGGCGCCAGGCCCAGGCCGCCGCAGGGCCCCCGGGCCAGCATGACCGGGTACCGCACCGAGCCGTCCTGCAGCCAGCCCGCGCTGCACCAGTGCAGGCCCTCCTCCCAGGCCCGGAACAGCTGCTCGAAGGAGGCCACGGCCGCCTCCTGGGCCTCGCAGGCCTGCTGGGCCTCCTGGAAGTTGAGCTGGTAGCGTCCCTGCGGGGGCTGGTAGGGGAACACCACACCTGGGAAGGGAGGGAGGGGGGAGGGAAGAGGGGTTGGAGGGGGGGACCCCGGTCCCCTGCCCCCACTCCTCCATGAGGACAGATGCTCCACCCCCCACCCAGGACACACACTCAGTCCCTCGGAGAAGCCCAGCAAAGCTGTCCCCTTAGCTGAAACCGGTGTGGCTCAGTGGATAGAGCGTCGGCCTGCGGACTGAAGGGTCCCCAGTTCAATTCCAGTCAAGGGCACAGGCCCGGGTTGTGGGCTCCATCCCTAGTAGGGGTCGTGCAGGAGGCAGCCGATGAGTGTTTCTCTCTCTCTCGTCATCGATGTTTCTCTCTTTTCCTCTATATCAATAAATATATAGTTTTTTTAAAAAAATGTTTATCTGGCCTAACTAGTTTGGCTCAGTGGCTAGAGCGTCGGTCTGCGAACTGAAAGATCCCAGGTTCAATTCCAGTCAAGGGCATGGTCCTTGGTTGCGGGCACATCCCCAGTAGGGGGTGATGTGCAAGAGGCAGCTGATCAATATTTATCTCTCATCCATGTTTCTTTTCTTTTTTTAATATATATATATATATATATATATATATATTAAATGTTTTATTGATTTTTTTACAGAAAGGAAGAGAGAGGGATAGAAAGTTAGAAACATCGATGAGAGAGAATCATTGACCAGCTGCCTCCTGCACACTCCCCATTGGGGATGTGCCCGCAACTAAGGTACATGCCCTAGACCAGAATCGAACCTGGGACCCTTCAGTCCACAGGCTGAGGCTCTATCCACTGAGCCAAACCAGTTTCGACTTTTTAAAATATATTTTATTGATTTTTTACAGAGAGGAATGGAGAGGGGATAGAGAGCTAGAAACAACGATGAGAGAGAAACATCCATCAGCTGCCTCCTGCACACCCCCGACTGGGAATGTGCCCGCAACCAAGGCACACGCCCTTGACAGGAATCGAACCGGGACCCTTGAGTCCGCAGGCCGACGCTCTATCCACTGAGCCAAACCGGTTTCGGCTCTCATCCCTGTTTCTAACTATCTCTCCCTCTCACTTCCTCTTTGTAAAGATCAATAAAATATATTTTTTTTAAAAGAATAGCCACAGTGCTGCACCCCTCCCCGTACCCATTGTGGCTTTGCTGGCATGTGAGTGATTCAGGCCACACTGCCAACCCGTGGAATCACCAGCACAGTAAACATCGCAAGGCCCCAAGTGGGTGGTGACTCAGAAGTTTCCTTAAACCTCATTCAAGCAGTGCTTGGGCAGCGAAATAAATTCCAGAGAAAAAGGGTGTGGAGGCTAAAGAATGGCTCCCCAAAATACCACGTCCTATTTTTTATTTTTTATTTTTTTAATATATTTTATTGATTTTGTACAGAGAGGAAGGGAGAGAGATAGCGAGTTAGAAACATCGATGAGAGAGTCATCGATCAGCTGCCTCTTGCACACCCCCTACTGGGGATGTGCCTGCAACCAAGGTACATGCCCTGGACCGGAATCGAACCCGGGACCCTTCAGCCCCCAAGCCGACGCTCTATCCACTGAGCCAAACCGGTTTCGGCAAAAATATATTTTTTTAAAAAAAAGAAAGAAAAAACAATGGTCTGTTGCAAGGGCCCAGGCTGGAAAAAGGCTGCTGGCTGCACGCCCAGTCCTCCCTCCCAGCCTGAAACCTCCATTTCACTGCAAAGTTGGGGGGAGAGGAGAGGGTCTTGTTCGTCCTTAGGGGCTAAAGGCCCGGCCCAGGATGCCACCCACCTCCACCGAGGCCCGGGTCCCAGCCGGGGGCGCTGTTGGAGTAGTAGAAGCCATTGTAGAAGGGCAGGGCAGCGGCAGCAGCAGGGCCAGGAGTAGCAGGCGGCCCATGGCGGCAGCGCCGGCGTGTCCTGGGCAGCGCCATGGCCAGGCAAATGGA